TCTTACCACGATTAGCGCTTACCGGGTAAATTGTTGCATAAGATGCCGTTTTTGTCGAATAAAATTTTATTTGGTAAGTAAATCATAGTGTTGATTTTACCGACAAGATAAATAAGGATGGTGATTCTTACAGGTAAATATTTACCCGGCAAACCACCAACCCTTAATTTCAATATAAATGATGCAATCTTGGCTTTCCATTAATCACACATTATCTTAAGTTTAGTTTCGATTTCTTTTATTAAACTTACTAAAAATAGAATTATCTTATACTCCCTCCGTACCAAAATAAATGTCTATATTAACATTTATATTTGTCTCAAAATAAGTGTATAGTTTCAAAAATAGATGACTAAATTCTCAAATTTACTTTTATTTAATGCATAATATTTAAGAGCTGTCACTACAACAAAATTAGTTTTATAGGACACTCATAATCTCTAAGTGTTCCAATAGACCGTTTTATATGACTTAATTTATAGAACCAAAATATAAAACGTCTTATCTAAAGGCGTTGTAATAAGTTTATATGACGTTTTTGGCGTCTTAACAAGTTTTTTAGGACATTTTTAATACAAAGTGTCGCATTAACAACTTTATAGGACACTTTTGAGAAATTGTCCTATAAACTCAAGTTTTTATAGGACACTTGTTTTTATAAGAGAGTTTTTCAAATAGTATCCTATAAAGTTGGTAATGAGACACTTTATATTAAAAATGTCCTAAAAAACATATTATGACATCAAAAAACATCATATAAACTTAATACAACACCTTTAGACATGACACTTCATTTTTTTTTTGTCCTATAAACTAAGTCCTATAAAGAGGTCTATTAGGACGTTTAGAATTTGGAGTGTGCTATAAACCCGATTTTGTTATAATGTGTAAAGAGAGAGAAATTAATTAAAGATAAATCTATCATTTGGTTAACTAAAAAGTGAAACTATTACGCGGTCTAAAATTGTGCATCATTTATTAACAACTATTTTTAGGCAGAGGGAGTAGATTATGAGTGTTTATTGGTTGAAATCCAATGAATTTAGGTGGATCTAATCTGATTCAATCATCTAATAAATGTTGGATTTTGTTATCCGATTCAATACAATTAACATCAGACATCTGATCCAATCCAACGAATGATTTGATCAGATCGGTTTTATAAATTGGATATTACTGTTAGTTACCAATTGAATCAGATTTGATCCATTGATACAATTTTCAACTAATTAATCAACCGTTTTAAACAATTATTCATACATATATTTTTAATTCATCAGAAATCACTACATATACATATCAACTAGAATACAATATCATAAAAGTGTTCATAATTATTTATAGTTACTAATTAGATAGTAGTTGGATAGTAATTGAATGGTTACTAAATTAGCTCGATTCAGTTTTATTGGATTCTAGACTGTTAACAAAGAACCAACCAATCCACTTTGCATGTTGAAATTTTGGATCCAAACTGATCCAGTTACAATTGAGTTGCTAATAATAATCAATTGTTTTAATTTAATCAGATGACTTTCTGCACACCACTAAATAAATAAAAACCTTTTTTATAATTTTAGAAATTTCAATAAAATAATTTAATAAATTGCTCCGTGCATCTTAATCGCGTAATCATTATGTTAAGCAAATTACAAATGATTTTTTAAGTTCATCGTACACGTAATCATTATGCTAAGCAAATTAGTACCAACCTTAGACATTCATATGAGTTATTGTTTTTATCTATGATTAGGTTTAAACAATTTTGAATGTTTGGAAAAACAATTTATACTTTGTCAAACCGGTAATAAGAAGTGTAACATATATATATATATATATATATATATATATATATATATAAATGAGCGTTCAAATGAAAACTTGACCCATTTGTGTAAACCGTGTAAACCAATCTCATCCGTCCATTTTCTTGATCAATGACCTAGATTATATTATTTTATTTTAGGAAATTAAAAATTAAAAAATAATTAATATTCATTTTATTTAATCAACAAKGGTAGARTYGRTATACATTTGTAACCCCTCAATTTCTTACCAAAATTCAAGCATTTTCCACAACATAATTCTGAGCGTTCATATAATTACTCCACAAATCCGACACCATCGTCGTCACCATCTCCACCACACCCTCCACCACCGTCGGTATCTCCTTCGTCAACCCATCAAACCCCGACTTCATCTTCTCCACCACCCCTACCGCCGCTGCTCCGGTGGCTGAAACCGACCCAAAAACACCCTCTTTCACAAGATCAAAAACCAGACCAACAATCCCACTCATCACCTCCATAACCACCTCCAAAACGTACCCAATACAAGTTCTGATCAGATCAGCGATTTGCTCCATTGCGGATTGCAGAGCTTCTCCAGGGACTCGGAGTCCTTGGATTGCGATAACGAGGAGGTATGCGGTGGTGTTGAAGATTAAATGAGATAGAAGGTTTGATAGCATGGTTATGGTGGAGAAGATGAGGTTGATGAGGATGAGGACCGCCATTGATGAAAGCTTGGAAGGTCTACAGGAGAAGATGAAGACTTAAGATGGATATATATATATATATATATATATATATATATATGTGCTCATCTTAATGAACAAGATAAATTGAAGATAATAATCTATGATTTATATAATACCATATGATTCATATATGCTTACGTATACAGATAAATAAATCAGTCCACATGCATACCTGTTTTGGCGCCAATTGATGATGCATGTGTGACAGTTGAATAATTGACAGTTAAAATGGTTCTTTGATGGTGAGAACCGCCAAACACTGTTATAAATACAACAGTTATACGCCATTTCATCTATCTTTCTCAAGAACACAAAATGCAATCCTCTGAATTACCTGTTGCCATCAAATCGGTGAGGATATAAAGGTGTATCTTGGAAAAGCATGGATGAAGAACAAAGCACTAACCAGAGTCTGAATTCTTCTATTCCACAAGGTACGTAAAACTGTTTATCAAGTATAATTCTGTAATTCAATTTAATGTGTTAATTGGATCCTAATTTAGAACAATACAACAAGAAGTTTTTTGAAAAAGTTAAACCCTTCTGACTTATAATAAGTTGATAAGTGCTTTTGTAGAAAAGCATAAGTTGTTTCAAATAAGCAATCCCAAACACTCCCTAAATGAAATATAGTTTTAAAGTTAATTATGATTTATTTTTAAAAGACAAATTCGGTTATTATTGGAATTAAATCATTTTGCATCTCTTAAATTCAGTTTTAATTTCATTTATTCCTTAAATTCAGTTATTTTTGGAATTAATTTCTTTTCCTCTCGTGTATGAACATTCGATGTTCCAAAAGTTTTATCAAAGTTTATAGGTGAAATCAGAAAGTGAATGAGATAATTAAGGTAGTTTTAACAAATTTCATAGATGAAACAATGCTTTTTGTTTAAAGTTTTTGATGTTGTTTCGTGTATGAACTTTGGTTGTTCCAGATTTTTTTTTACCAAAGTTCATATATGAAATCAAAAAGTTATTAGATAAAATATGATTTGTTTAAAATTCATACATGTTTTTTTTTTTTTTTTGTTCTAAGATTCAATTTTGTTATCTGGGTTTGAATTATTTGTAGCAAAAAAAGATTCAAAGTTGAAATTTTCGAATTTTAGAATTTGAATGCACGGTTTTGAATGAGAGAAAGAAGCGAGGAATCCTCTTTTCGACTCTAACTCTCCCACTCCAGTCGTTGCTTTTCTTTGTGAATAATAACTTATGGTAAGTGAACAAAATAAATTATTGAATCCAATAATTAAGTGAATGAGATATTTAAGAAATTGGTTATTAAATGAATATACATATACATACGTATTATATATGTATACATAGAGAGAAAGAAAGTTACACATACAATCATGTCATTCTTACGAACTTTATAAATTTATTTCAACCGTTTATTTAGTTAAATAAATATCTGATTTTATAAATATTTCAATTGTTTTCTAATATAAAGCGTTTCATGTAACCATCTTACATAAGCATTCAAATCATAGCAAATAATGAACCCACGTTATTTACATAAATATTTTTGATTGATTAATTTGTATTTAAACCTTCATCTATATATTTTTCAATTTTTGTTATTAAACCTAGATATCCAACTCGCTATGCGAGCCGACTAATCTCAGAACGACCACCTGTTTTACAGATAGTTTGGAACCATCGCATTTGAACCTCTGTTACCATAAGAGAATTTTTATTTCTCCTTAGATTTGAACTTAAGACCTCCTGATACTTTTAACTTTTAGAGCCAAGGTCAAACCAATTAGGAAGGACTAGAAAGGTACTCGCACAATGCAGCGAGATAAATCTTCATTTCAATGTTTAGTTTTATTATTTGTCTCTATCGATATAATACGATTTTATGTGGTTTTGAGAAAACGGTAATGTTTTTATTTTTGAATGAAATATAAATTTAAAGATAGCATAAAAATTTTAAAAAAAAAATCGATATTAGTATCAAATTAACTATTTAATAGTTTTTGTTTTTTTGGTATAACTTTTCTATTTCAATTTTTTATTATAATTTAATTTAGATTTAATAAAAAAAATTAATTTATTTTTGGCTTAATAATATATTTTTTTTAAGATAATAATTAAACATTCTGTTAGAACTCAATAATTATCTTAATTATATTTTAGGTTTTCTATATCAAAAATGAATATTATCGTATATCTGATTATGTTTATCTGCAATTAGTTACACGAATTTAAAGATGTAGCTTTAATAAATTATACTTATGCAAAGTTACTTGTAATCTTGAATTTTAGTTCATGTATAAAATAACAGTTTTTAAGATAGATTATGGTTATATTTTTCAAATTGATGTAGTCAACTCTCTCTCCCTCTCGTTATTTCTATATATTGTCCCCACGTTTGTTTTGGAGATGAGAAGTACACCACAACTAGAGCTATAAAATCTTGATCTACAGATATCACGTTACCTCCTAGTCTCTAGAGATGGCGACGTCGGCCAACACCGGCAGCCGGTCAGAAATGGCCAGCTTAACCCTCCAAATCCTAAACGGCCGGTGGTTCATGGTGTTTGCCTCCTTCCTTATCATGTCTGCCGCCGGCGCCACCTACATGTTCGGTCTCTACTCCGGCGTGATCAAAGAGTCCCTAGGGTACGATCAAAGCACCCTCAACTTGCTCTCCTTCTTCAAAGACCTCGGCAGCAACGTCGGCGTACTTTCCGGCCTTATTGCCGAAGTTACACCGCCGTGGTTCGTCCTCTCCATTGGATCCGTACTCAACTTTTTCGGGTATTTCATGATTTGGATGGGTGTCACCAAACGAATTGCCAAACCAACAGTTTGGCAAATGTGTTTGTACATTTGTATCGGTAAGATTTCGTGTTTTATAACCGCAAAAAAGCAGTTTCCGTTTCAAATGCACCCGCGACAGTGATAAGTTATTTTATGGTGTTTTGGATAAGAAAAAAAAAACTATTTATACCGGTGCCAAACCAGTAATAAGCTGTTTTTGATAAGTTAATTCTTCCTGACTTATGAAAAACTGTTTATTATCAGTTTACGATTTTAACTTTGTTTTATTTAACTCCGGTTTGATACCACATAAGTTAATAAGCACTTTTACAAAAAAAAACATAAATTGTTTTAAATAAGCAATCTCAAACACCTTATTAACGTTCATGGTTGGACTCTATCATACATCCGGGCACGTGGAAAATTAATTAAAAAAACTAAAATATTTTTAAATCCGTCGGAAATTTTAAAATTCAACGACGGATGTTATCGTCGCCACAAATACCAGTGGTGGGACGTTTGGCGGTGTTCCGTCGGAAATTACCGTCCAGTTTTGACCGTTGGTAATAACCATACCCAGTTTTTTTAGTACTTTCTGGATACCGTTTTGAGTGTAATTAAAACTGCGTTTGTATGTTATGCAAAAAAAAATTATTGTGACTCAAAACTTTTAAGTCACAATAATACTGATTTTTGTTACTTTTAGTTAAAAAGTAACAAATATCAGTAAATCTAGGTCAAATTTAATGTTTTTAGGGTTAAAAATAGTTAAAAGTTGGTGTTTTTATTGATCTAAATCGATGTTAATTTTGTATATGTGCATGTAGGTGCGAATTCGCAATCATTTGCAAACACCGGGGCATTAGTGACATGCGTAAAAAACTTCCCGGAGAGCCGAGGGGTGGTACTAGGGCTGCTCAAGGGGTTTGTCGGCCTCAGTGGAGCCATCATCACACAAATTTACCACGCGATCTATGGGGACGATAAAAAGGCTCTCATTTTGCTCATCGCTTGGCTTCCGGCTGTCATTTCCGTGGTGTTTGTACGTACGATCCGAATCATGAAAGTGACTCGACAAGCGAACGAGCTTAAAGTTTTTTATGATCTTCTATATATATCTCTCGGCCTTGCCGGATTCTTGATGATAATCATCATAGTTGAAAAAACCATCCAATTTCCTCGGGCGGAGTACGGTGGTAGCGCTGCGGTTGTTGTTTTCCTCCTCTTTCTACCGATCGCGGTGGTTATACGAGAAGAGTACAGTATTTGGAAAAACAAAAAAGCGTCGCTAAATGATCCGCCACAAATAAAAGTCGTCACCGATAATCCACCGGTGCCAAACACCACCGTCTCACCGCCACGAACGCCATGGTCACCACCGAAGCAAGAAGAGGAAACCTCATGCTTCCAGAATGTATTCCGGCCACCGGAAAGAGGCGAGGACTACACAATTCTCCAAGCACTCTTCTCCATCGACATGTTAACCCTATTTTTAGCGACGATTTGCGGCGTTGGCGGCACTTTGACCGCCATCGACAACTTGGGCCAAATCGGAGAATCTCTCGGCTACCCAACTCAAAGCATTAGCACCTTCGTCTCCCTCGTAAGCATATGGAATTACCTCGGAAGAGTAACCGCCGGATTCGTATCCGAAATCCTTCTAAAAAAGTACAAATTCCCCAGGCCTCTTATGCTAACCCTAACCCTAGTTCTATCTTGCATCGGCCATATTCTGATCGCATTAGGCGTCCCGAATTCGCTCTATTTTGCATCCGTGATCATCGGGTTTTGCTTCGGAGCTCAATGGCCGTTGCTGTTTGCCATCATATCGGAGATTTTTGGCCTGAAATACTACTCAACTTTGTACAATTTTGGGTCGGTGGCAAGTCCGATCGGATCGTACTTGCTGAACGTGAAAGTGGCCGGAAACTTGTACGACAGTGAGGCAGAGAAGCAGATGAAGGTTTTGGGGATTGCTAGAAAGGCCGGCGAGGATCTGACGTGTGTAGGGGTTGAGTGTTTTAGGGTGGCGTTTCTGATTATAACTGGTGCTACTGTTTTCGGTGCATTTGTTTCAGTTATTTTGGTGATCAGAACCAGAAAATTTTACGCCGGTGATATATATAAGAAGTTCAGAGAGCAGGCGGCGAGGGCGGAGATGGAGGAGATGGCGGTGGCCGGAGGTGGTGGGAAGGGAACATGATGATGCTTGTATGTATATATATATAAGTTGTGACATACATAGTTATACACCATTAATGAAGGGAGGTTTAGAACGTTGTGAGCCATATATTATTTTACAAAAATACATGGTATTTGTTCGTTATATAAAATTTATAAAATAAAAAATTATTGCTTTTATTCATTACTTTGATTTTTTTTTTTGATAAAAGACAAAATAAATTGGATATATATATCAAAAGTGAAATAAGGTGTGGTTTTATGACTTTTCCCCCTAATCTAGTTGTCACACCAATCATGAGATAACAGTTTTGTCATGTCATATTTCACGTATCAAACACAGCCTTAACAACAAAAATAGGCATTCAACTTTCGGGCTAATTCTACATTTGTGATGGAGCGTAATATGTTAAGGGCTTTCATATACATGAACGAAGGCCGACAAGCGGCAAACGACGTGACAACGATGATGTACGTTTTACCGATTTCCTTGGTTTTAATATGGACTATTTAGGGTTAAAATACATTCCTACTTTCTTCCAAGACATGTTGTATGGCTTTCTGGCCCAACTTGATGGGCTTAGGTTTTTTTAGTAATACATATAGTTCTTAAATTTTCCTTGAAATTGTTCATTTGAAGTTCTTGATAAAGGATTCTATGATAACCAATAAGCCAAATTGATATTAAACCATTTGAAGGGGTATTTGGGATTGCTTATAAAAACAACTTATTGACTTATTTTGGTGTGACATCGGTAATAAGCACTTTTGAGTGTTTGGATAAACAACTTACACATGTGTCAAACCGGTAATAAGAAGTTTTTGAAAAAGTTAAACCATTCTGACTTATAATAAGTTGATAATTACTTTTATAGAAAAGCATAAGTTGTTTCAAATAAGCAGTACCAAAGACCCCCTAAATATTATTTTTTGGGGAAAAGAAAGGAGAATAATCCATGTGATATTGGCACCATCATGAAATAATTAAGCCAGGTATCTTAATTACTTAATTTTTTCGATCAGGAAATTCAGATCTTAAAGTTTGGAGATTGGAGTAAACAACTTTTCATCACGGCCAAGCGAAACAGTTTTTTCATGAAATATATTAAGCCAGTTTTTTAATTACTAATGTCGCTTATTTTTTTTAAGTTTTATAATATTTTTCAAATTTATATTTCATTCAGAAATAAAAACATTTTTTTTTCAAAACCACATAAAATTGCATTATAACATCGATAGAGCCAAAATATAGAACAAAACATTAAAATCAAGATGTATCTCGTTGCATTGCACGAGTACCCTTCTAGTTAATAATAAAGCATTAATTTTATATTTTTAAGTTTTGTATACTTCTAGTTAATTAAGGGTGACGGTGACCGACAAAAACTGCCGAAACATTTTTCAGTACTTTCGTTTGTAAATATCCTTACAGACGACTCCTTTATTTGTATGTTTGTATTAGTTTTTCGTTTTTTTTATATATTAAATATTAAATAGTTTAATATTTGAATGTTTGTAATTTTTATTCTTTTCAATTAAACATGACATGTGTTATCTGCAAACTCAAAATGTCAATAAAATTTAAAGAAAAATGATAAGTTTTCATATATGTAATTTGAAGTTTGTATAAAAACGAAAGTAACATAAAAGAGTTGGTATACAAATTCTCGTTAAATTATGTTGTTCAACTATTTTACAAGAAAACTGAAGAATAATTGAATATCGTAACGAAAGAACCATTATCATGTTTTATTTTTAGTTGACCGGTAAAAATAACATATGATGCATGTACGTTGTCTAGTAAGGGCATGTTTGTTAGCACTTAACAGCTAAATGGGCTTAACGAGACTCACAGCATATTCAGTCAGTTATACATGACCGTATGATATTGTCTAGAATTCTCATTTCGAAATTGAAATCGATTTCTATTATCCTTTCTATTTGATTATCTTTATATAATATATTTCATTTTTTTATGAATATGTCCATTTGTCTCTTTTTTATTAGTCGTTTAGAATAGAACAAGTAATCAGATGTAAGAGAATGTCTAGGAATTTTCATATCAAAAAGGTGGTTTATTCAATAAGCTTCTAGGGAGTTCTACGCATAAAACATAAGGTTCTTTCCCAAACATGTCTCTCTCAATTAAAAAACACGTTCTTTACATCTATGAAAAAACCCTCATAAACAAAAACATTCTCAATTTATACAGACAAATTAATCTCAGAGTCGTCTATAACATGTTAAATCTTGGTTTTTGAAAAAAAACCCAACGTATTCCGGATTTATATAACTCAACCTTGTGAACCCAGAACGCGACTATTTAATTTCAGAATTCGCTTATAAAAAAACAAAAACGATTGTTTGATATTCTTTTCACTTCATCATTTTAAATATTTTTATAGTTTTAATTTGTCATATTTTGAAAATGAGATGGAATTTTATAATTTTGTTTTGTTTATTGCTCATTCGTCTCTTTATGATTTTTTGTTTTGATGTTCAAATAATTAATATTAGGGGTAAATCGGTCATTTATGTTATTCAGACTGTTGATTCAGATAAAAAAAAATAAACAACAACACCCATTTATCCAGACAGACAAATTAATCCATGCATAACTTAATAAAAAATTTAGTAAACAACCTTTTAATAAAAAACTAATCAAACATAAATAAACCAACATGAGTAAATTAAATCGATATTAAAGACAAAAATACATCTTAATATAAATAAATTTCAATTCAAATAAAACAAAATAAATCATTTTAAATATATATATATATATATATATATATATATAGATATTTTACATTCACCACTTTAAAGTTGTTCTCTTAAACTGAACCATTCTGTCCATTAATTATATGGTGGTCCATAAACAACCTTTTTCCTTTTTGTAAATTGTAATTAATAAATAATTAGAATAAAAAAAAAATAAACATAAAATAAAAGGCCGTTTAAAGGAGCATACGATGATTAAATATGGAATTTAATTTTAAAAATTGCATTTTTGATGTGTTCAATTTTCTGTTAAAGGAGATAATTATAGTTATGTCTCCCCCTCTCCTTCTTCATTGCAACATCCCAATCCCTAATTATCTCCATAATTTCAATCCATGAATTCCTGTTAATCCTTACATTCAACTGAAAAACCTAATTCTGCAGATGCTTTCTATTTCTGGATCTCTCGCTTTTCGGATCTCTTATTCCTTCAATTTGATCAATAAGGTACAATCTTTCTATTTTTGTGTTATTCGACTTTTTCTTCTTTTTTTTAACTGATTCTTATTCGAAACTAGATAATTCCTTGACTCATACTCCGTTTTCTTTCCCAAAATTGGTGTTTTTAAGGGTTTCAATTGGTTGATTGATTGCTACAACGAACCTGAATAGATATGGGTATGGGTATAGATGTATAAACTGTAATGAAGTAGAAGTTTACACAGGGAATAATAGGATACGGAGAGTTTGATTTTGGGGATTAGGTTTTGGAAAATTCGTAGCTATGTTGAAGATCATCAAGGGGATGAAAAAGGGTTCCAAACCCGAAGTGATTGAACCACCTCCAGGACCTAATGGTCCATCTGATGTGACTGTAAACCATGCTTCACGTGCCGCTATCCCCCCTACTCAGCTTCCTAATGCCAGGTCACAGGTTATTCGAGCCCCTTCACCTCAAACTGATGAAATTGAGATTGAGGTGACACCTATGTTGAAAGATGTACCGATATCCGAAAGACATGTTTTGTTTATTAAGAAGGTGAATATCTGTTCGGTTCCGTTTGACTTTTCTGATGCATTGAAGAAAGTTAAAGAGAAGGAGATTAAGAGGCAGAACCTTTCGGAACTTGTTGATTTAGTGCAGACGGGTTCGAGTAAGATGAATGAGATCATGCAAGAAGAGATGGTTAAGATGATATCGGTGAATATATTTCGACCTTTGCCTCCTGCGGCATTTGAGAATACAGGAGCCATTGATGGTGACCCGGAAGAAGATGATATGTACTTGGAACCCTCTTGGCCACACTTGCAACTTGTATATGAATTGCTTTTGAGATATGTGGTGTCGCCTGATACAGATACTAAAGTAGCTAAGCGGTTTATTGATCATTCGTTTGTGTTGAACTTGCTTGATTTGTTTGATTCAGAAGACCCAAGGGAGCGGGAGTATTTGAAGACTATACTCCATCGCGTATATGGTAAATTTATGGTCCATCGCCCCTTCATAAGGAAGGCAATAAATAATATCTTTTATAGGTTTATATTTGAAACAGAAAGGCAGCCTGGCCTTGGTGAATTGTTGGAGATTCTTGGAAGCATAATAAATGGGTTTGCTGTCCCAATGAAGGAAGAGCATAAACTGTTCCTTGTGCGAGCACTTATACCACTCCACAAGGCGAAGTTTATCAATTATTATCATCAACAGTTATCCTACTGCATAACCCAGTTTGTTGAAAAAGATTACAAATTGGCTGATCCTGTTATTAGAGGGTTATTGAAATACTGGCCTGTTACTAACTGTAATAAAGAGATTCTCTTTCTTGGAGAGCTAGAAGAAGTTCTGGATGCGACGCAACCTGCAGAGTTCCAACGCTGCATGGTTCCTCTCTTTCGACAGGTTGGACGCTGCATTAATAGCCCCAATTTCCAGGTTGGTTATTACCGATAATATATTATCTAATGGCATTTTGGCTTCCGTTTTGTGCTATAATTGTGTGCTTAGTTATTGGTCTTGATTTGGCACTGTTAGCTGTTATTGGGGGGATTTCCTTCTATACCACTGTGTCTTATCTAATCTACTTGTGTGTTTTCGTTCACTTGATACAAAGTATACTTTGGCTGGATTAAAGCTATGGTTTTGTGTTTCTTTTGAAAAGTTAAGGTAATTGGGAAATTGTAAGCCTTAGATGCTACCTAATGTTATAATTAATCGCTGCTCCTCTATGCAGCCAAAACCAATTCAACAGCGAATTTTGTTTCCTGTTCTTGCTTAAGATTGGAGATTACTAGAGTATTGCATGACAAGAAGTTCAATACCTTATGGTACTAGTGCAATTATGTCACTCGTGTTACACACATAGACACATATACAGGGAGCACCGAGCTCTCTTATATAGAGTATTAGAAAGGGGGGGGGGGGGAAGCTTTTGCTCCAATTCAACCATAGGCGTCTATATTTTGATCCACACATTAAGGCACTATTCCAGCATGCAACCTTGGCTTCTTACTGCTCGTAAAATCTCTGCCTAATTTATTAGTTTTTTAGTCTTCTGTTAGATATAAACTGTGAACATTCTTCAAATAGAAGAGATTCTGTATAAGTTATTGAAATGGTTTGAATAGCAAGATTGATCATATACGCAGCCCTAAAGATGTTTGTAGACCATGATTGTTCATGAATACTACATACAACAGTACAACACATCTAAAGGCCAGAATATTCAATTGTGAAACTGCAAGGACCTCCAAATAACTGTTGTTCGGTTGATGTAACTTAATATTTACATAAAGTTAAAACAAAAAGAAAGGTAAATAGAAATTGTATTAAATTTTTTAACTGTCACCACTAACATGATCCTCCCTTCGTTGTCTCTTTTCCTCTACTCATCATATTAGTGTATTACCCCTTCGGACCACTACCTGGACTTCAGAAAGTAGAGGTGCGTATGACCCATAGCCTCCATGAGCCTCTTGTCCACCTCCAACATGCCTAAGATTATGTGAAAATGAGCCTTGGTGTTGCCTTGCCTCTCTATAATTTCCCCAAATGTTAGAATCCGAGGCAACAACAAGATAGCACCTCCTCATCTTGAAGTTTCAGTTTCCTGGAAGGCTGGAACAGAGGCCACATCATTCTTATGGTCAGTAACAAACATTAACTTTCTGGTGACATCCATCATGACTTGACCAACAGCGTAAAAGAGAAAAAGTGTGGATTGTTTTGGACTGATTTGTATTATATATACTAGCCTAAAAGAACCAGATTAGGGTAAGAACCTCTAAGATCATGTTGATCCTTGCAAACAAGTTGCATCCATAGCGGTGCTACTGGTTTGCCATTAGATTGGGAGGAAGAGAAGACTTTGAGGCAAATTAAATAAAATCTACTCGGTGGAGAATAAAGAGAAATAGTGGGTAGTTGAATGTCCCTGGTAAAACCTATGTTGGCGTTTTTGCCCCATGTAAGAATATCTAGAGATATGACGAACTAGAAAAGATAACATATGAATATCTGAACCCCATGTGCATTGTCTATGACTAATTTTTACTTGGATTTATATGCAGGGTAAGAAGCTTGCATAATAACAATGTAATTAGCGTTTTACTTAACCGTCCAATGGATCATGGTTGTTTCACAACTTGGAATCTATGTGTGTTTATATCACCATCACAACATATTAGATAGAACCATGGGATCCGAATGTATGGTATAATTGATTAGGAAGGGGCAACACCTGCTAACGTTATAATATATCTATATATATATATATGTGTGTGTGTGTGTGTGTGTGGGTGTGGGGGTGTGTGTGTGTTTACTTATGTATGTATGTGTGTATACAAAAAAGATTGAAACAACTAACAATCATATTACATAAATTTTTAATGAAAATGCATAAAATAAAGCATGTGTCATACATTCACACATGCATACATGCATATGTTTTAAGATCTAATCTATGCACAAAGGAAATGAATGTTAGAATGTGAGTTATCGAGGGTCAACAAGTCATTCTCTGTGGCTTTGTAGACAATGTAGGAGATCATTAATGGACATTTTTATAAAAGAAAAGTTAATGTGTCTCATTTCCTAATAAAAGATGTGAGAAACGATGTTGGAGCCTTGGAGGTGGACAAGAGGCTCAGGGAGACTCTGGATCATAAGCACATCTAATTCTTTCTTATGTCCAGGTGGTGGTCCAAAGAGGTAATATAATGAGTAAGAGGAAGAAGAGACAAAATATAAGGGAGAATGGTGTTAGACATATTGGAGGTGGACAAGAGACAGGGAATTATATGTATTGTTTGTGAAGTTGTGAATCACTAAAAATAAGTTCTCATGTTCTCCAACTTGAACATTGATAGAAGGTAGAACTAAAATCAAGTCCTCCCACTAGGCAAATATAATGGAGATGAAAAGAAGGAAAGGAAAAACAAAGATGGGTAAAAAAGAGACAACCAGAGAGTTAATTTAGTTTCTCAATGTGATCATCTTGGAAGGGAAATTTTTTTACCTGAAGTTGTGATTCTTTTATTCTTCTTTTGGAAAATAAAAACATTGATAGAAGTCCCTGAAACTTTATACACAGACATAATGTGTGTATCTAAACCAAATCAAACCAACAAAATAGAAATATTATCATCATAGACAAGGTCATGTATTATATATGTAAAATAAACACATACTTAAACTTAAATATGTTGTATTTTTTACGTTTATGTGGCCAACCTATTATGGGATGTCCACATAGAAGTAAAAAACACAAGATGTTTAAGTTTAAGTATGTGTTTATTTTATGTATTTAATGCATGGCATTGTCTATGATGATAATATTTCTATTTTGTTGGTTCGATTTGGTTTAGACTACACACATTATGACGACTCACTAACCCTAACCCCTACCCTCAATCTCTCCAGCTCCCTTCCCTCATAGATCTCCACTTAAATCAGCTCAGTGGTACTTATATCCAGCATGTGTTAGAATCTATTGGTACTCATGCACTTGAATCAGCTCATTAGGTCATCTACTAACATCATGATTTTGCCTAGTACAGTTGCATTCGGTTTTGTTATTATTATTTGCAGTCCATATGTTCTGATTTTTTCGCATAACCTGGTCATGCATTGATGCTTGGATGAGAAAAGCGACAATTGACTGCATTGCTGTCCAAAACTTGCCACTTCTAAGTTTCCAAATTTTGCATCCAAAAGAGTGTTGATGTAAAGTTGTCTTGTAGGTTGCAGAACGAGCACTTTTCTGGTGGAACAATGAACACATAGTGGACTTGATTGCACAGAATCGAGACGTCATTTTACCCATCATCTTTGAACCCTTAGAGAAGAATATCCAGGGTCACTGGAATCAAGCAATAAATGGTTTGACTGGGAATGTCAGAAAAATGTTCATCGAGATGGATGCAGAGCTCTTTGAGGAGTGTAGTAATCGGTTTCTGGAAAATGAAGCCATGACCAAGGAAATGCATGAGCAACGTGAGCTGACTTGGAAGAAACTGGAGGCAATTGCATCAGAGGAAGGAGGAGATGATATAATTATGGTTAATTGATAATGCATCGAAGAACACTAAAATGGACTTTCCGTTTACATTTTCTATTTTTACCCTTTTACCATCGTGGTTTCTGATTTTTGTCTCTCTATCTGGATTGTCAAAGTTTTCTAGGCCATCTTCACTCTCCGCAATGCTTGCAACAGGATGCCACCTGGACTCTTGCCTCTTTCTAACATTCAAAAGGGCAGAGGTACAGTTGATCTTCTTCAGTCATTCTCCTACAGTCTCATAGAGCACAACCAATTGCTCTTTCTTTTTCCTTTCCGTTCTTTCGCCTTAGAGTAATTATTATTTGTTGTTATGATTGTTGATAAATTGTTATTGGGTTAATAATAAGTATAAGGTGGTCACAATGTTAACATCATAGGGATGTTTTCTGCACACAAGTTCTTCAACTTTCTCTAATTTTGTGGTCAAATGAACCATATTTCATATTTTTTGTGAATACAAATTTCTGTTAATGGTTTTTTGGGTGCTAAACTGCTAATTTTACCATTATTACATGTTAGTTTTGTTCGTGTATATTAGCACCTGAAGCTGGTGCATAACCATAGATATTTTTTGAACCTTGGAACCAACTATTTCATTATTTATTAATGATGAATAACCAAAAATAATTCATCATGCATCTCACTATTCATGGTATCCATTAAGAATACCTATCACTTATTCATTATGAATAGTTGGTTCCTATGCTCACAAAATATTTATGGTTCTCATTTGAACTTGCCCCTTAATGATGTAGGCGAGTTATCTTGTTCGGGCATATAAAGATTGTATAATATCCTCGAGTCGTGAAATATCTTTTCTCCTTCATTACTACCCTTCAATTATTTACACATAATCTGCCACTTCCATTCTTAACGGTTACTGTAATAGAACACTGTGAGTCATGGTCATGTGCAGTGATAATACAACTAGGGAAGACAAGAAGATGTTGGTTGGTATCGATGAGCGTGCCATTGTGCCAATGCTGCCTGATGCACCTGAAATCCTTCTGCTGCCAGGACCACCGCAATAAGGTATTATCCCGGGCCCACAACCTTGTAGCACCATTGCAGGTGGTGGTGATCCTGGGACCATCCCATAACCACCGCCTGGGACCATCCCAGGATTGCCACCACCTTGTATGTTCCCGGGAATACAACCACCTGGTGTTTTTCCAGACACAAAGCAACCTGGTGGTGTGGTCCCATAAGTGGTGCCATAGCTGCCACCGTCATATGGCATGGTGCCTGGAGGAATGTTAGGGTTGCCACCACTTGGTTGACCCTCAACTGGTGGAGTGATCACCGGAGGACCGCCACCGGGAGAATTATCACCTAGATTGCTGCGAAACAACCGTAGCATGTCAAATGGCACAGAATATGAAGACCATATGGTTAAAAGAGCACCCAATAACATAAAAAAGTTGACCCATAAACTTATACCTCGGGACGCCTACAAGTGCACCGGCATGCATAGTGAGTTGATTTATGAGGTAGGCTGACATCGGCGGCACGCTGGAGGCCCTGTCATACTGTGTACTGAGTTCTGCACCGGAGGGGACAAAAAACGCTCCATTGACCATCAAGTCCCCTTCTGACCTCCAATTCCACCCCTTCCATTCGTCGTCCTTCGCCTCCATTCGCTTCGTCACCTGTCTATCCGCCCCTCATGAGTAATTCTGAAAACCAAACCAAATGAACCTAATATATCCCACTCAAAAGAAGGTCATGGAAGATGGGATGTATACAAGCCTGTCCTCTACCCCGAAGGATAAAGTTGTTTCCATGAAGACCCTCAGCTTGTGCAAAAGTGTCAACAAAAAGGAAAGAAGCGGTTATGTACCTCTTTGTGAGAGTGGGGTGCGGCAATGAAACGGTTGCCCTGACTGTTGATGGTGGGAGCTGCGCTCCCACCAATGGCATACAACTGCCATTCGTTATAGTCGTTGTTCACGACATGGAAATACCCGTGCCGACATCTTGGCATTCTCTCCACGAGCCCTTTCCCGAAGTGATTGAATGCTACTGTTACCTATGCACATAATTGTTTTTAGTCCTAACATAAAAGGTACCAACGATATCCGAGTATTGCATGGCAATAACTTACCTGCATTCCTGCATCAGCCAAATAGTCATCCGAGTGACCCAATAACATGACCTTATCGTGATCGGTGAAATAGCAGTTGGTTATCGTCACGGCGGTGGACCCCTCCGTGACATCCACCAATCCATCCGTACACCTGGCAAAAGAACAATGGTCAATCCACAAATTCCTCACCCCCTTGATCGTCAATCCATCACCGTCCGATTTCCCCCTGCCTACCACATCCGTTGGACTCACCCGAATCTTAGCCTTCCCCGATGGCTCGCAATCATGGATGTAGAGACCATGAATGATGATATTTCCAACATTCTCTATCACAATGCAGCCTTTCCCTGTCACATGCACAATCGCTCCACGACCATCGATGGTCTTCGAGCTGCTGACAATGAGCTCGTTTTCGAGATTAATGTGCATGTCGTTGGCGAATATGATCCAGAGAGGCTCAGATTGTATGGCGGCATGCCTGAGTGTTCCTGGAGGTGGATTTTCAGGGTCTCCATCAGTCGGGTCGGTAACGATATAGATCCGACCTCCTTTCCCGCCCATTGCCGCCTGGCCAAATCCAATCGCGCAGTCAGCAAGACGTTGGCGGTCGTTGGCCCAATTGGGATCACACCGCCAGCAATCATCAACGGGGTTTCCAGTCTGGCAAGGTGTTTGATCTTTTGATTGAAGAAACATTGGATTTGCTTCAATTAATCTTCTTCTGGAGCTCATTGAAGCATTTAGTTTCCTTCAAAAACAGAGCAGAAAAACATAAAGTTCCATAGCAAAAAAAGAAAGAAACCCAGATGGGGAATGTGTGGAGGGTAATATGGTAAATAACCTTTGTAGATGCAGAACAATGTCATGAGGGTGTGGATGTTGATATGCCCATGCCTTGATAGAAGTTAAGAGAATGTAGATGAATAGATTGGTAGGAGACATTTGATGCCCCTTCTTTTGAGGATTGAATGGAAGGTAAGAAGGGGGGATGGTTTATATGGAGAAGTTAAAATCATTTTAAATGATATCTGATTTCATAGGTTAAGGTTTAAGTTTATGCATGAGGGTTTTGATTGATTGAATTACAAGCAAAGTAATGTGAAGATTTATAAGATTTTGGAGCATGAAGTTGATTAAATGACATTTTTTCTTCATTAATATTATTAAATTAACATTCCTAGAAAATATTTAGCATGTTTTTTATTTTATGTGAATTTTATTCGTTTATTTAGGTAGGTGGTATCTGAAGATGAAGAATTCTTTGTTTTTTATTAACCTGGATATCCAACCCGTTATGTGAGTTGATTACTCTCAGGACGATTACCTGTTTTGCGGGTAGTCCGGAGTCATCGCATTTGAACCTCTGTGGTCATAAGAAGATTTTTATTCCTCCTTAGATATGAACGTAGGATCTTCAGACACTTTTAATTTTTAAAGTCCAAACTAAAACCAATCAAAAATCATGGTTAAAAAGAATTCTTTATTTATCCATACAGCTGAATAAATATGCTTTTCATGTAAATAATTTGAAATGATATGATTAGGATTTAATGTGGGTGGTAGAGGTAACACTTTTCCCGATACAAATTTAACATTATCCTTCAAATATCAATAAATATATATATATATATATATATATATATATATTGTGTGGGATGGTTCACGTGAGACCAAGAGTTTTACGTGAAACCTATAAGATCAATTTATGTTCATTGATCAACTTTATAAATTAAAGATCTAATGGTCTAAATTGTACGGTGGCAATTTTGTAATTATTGAGAAGTCTCATGGCGTTTGTGAATGTTCAGATTTAACGATTGTAGATCTAATCTAAGGGTTAAGAATTGGTTTTACGGGTCTCACGAAAAAGCTTTGGTCTCACATAATCCCAAGTTTATATAATGTTATGTGCGTATATATACATATGTGGAATATTAAAAGAAAAAGACTAAAATTAATCAAAATGTGATGTATTATTACATGAATGACATGGAGCGTTTTGATTTAAAAATGAATGAAAGTTCGGTTTAGAAAATATTTATAAGGATGATGCTATATAATTTTTTTTATATTAAAACCATATCAAATTTTATATTATAAATTTACAAAATAAATATTAAAAAAATTAATAGTTGAAGAATATATTCAACAATATATATACTTGTATGGAGAGACATAGAATTGGGATCACGTGAGACCAGTATATTTTCATGTGACCATTTTTTTATATTTGAAATTTTATAACAAAACTTTGTAAAAGCTGTTTTTGCTGTAAAAGTCCGATTTTTTACCTTTACAATATTTTATTGTAAAGTTTTAAGTATAAAAAAATAATCATACGTGTTTTATAAAAACATGTTTTATAAAACAGGCTAGTCTCGTGTAAACCAAGATATATATATTGTTGGAAGATGTGAATCCATTTTGGGGAATTTGCTTTTTGGATTGTAATTTGTGGATTTTGGCGGCTGTGGATAAGAAGATTCTTTGCGGGAAATGTAGTATGTTTCTTCATCAAATATTCTGTTTTACTATTTTAACTTACACTTATTTATGATTTTAGTCCCTTTGATGAATATTACCATTTTTATCCCTCTATTTTTAAAATCGTTATTTTATTTTTTTTACTTTGTAATTTATTGTTGTTTTTGTTATTTATATTTGAACAAATTTTACGGATTCGCTCTTTGTGGTATGCTTGTCTTTACGACATTGGTCCATATTAATTTTTTACGTAGAACATCTAGTGGTATACATTTTTTGCATAGGCTTGGTCCCTCGACCAAACGACCATCCAAGAGGTCTGTTATATTCAAGGGTAAAATCGACTTTTTATTTTCCTAAATTTTAACATTTTTAATTAACCTTTCTTTTTAAAATCAAGGGCCACAAAATTTGGAGAGCCGAAACTTTTTAAGTTATCCTTCATACCCGCATTATACCACTGGAACTCCCTCCCCATTCAAAATTTGATCTTCTCCACTTAACATTAACAACAAACCCTAAAATCTATATTTAAAAAACCCATATCGAACCCCAAACCAATATTAAATCTTAAGAGGTCGAGGTTGGTTTTCAGTTACGGGTTTTGGTTTTGAGGGAAAATCGACGAAGAGATGATGTAGAGTTCAAGAGAAGTTAGAGAGGTTTTTTTTTAAAGTAAAAAGAAAGGACAAGGAAGAGAGCTTCGGCATGGCCATCACCCTCACCAAGCCAACCAATAAATTAAAAAACAGATCCAGCAAGAAGCTAGACACAAAAAGATACAAGAGTCCACCACAACAAGCGAGAAAGTTAGAGAGGTTTTCTAGGTTGCCAGAAAAATGAGAAGAACATGGAGAGGTTCGTTTTGTGGAGAATAACAAGAAGAAAAAGATGTAGATGGAAAGATTTTTGGGTTCTGATTCATCGGAGAATGTGAGGCGGTCAGGGAACTACATTTCCAAAGAAACAAGATTGGCAATGAAGAAGGTTGATCAGGGTGGTTAGATGTGTTCTTGAGTTTTAGAAACTGACAAAGACCAATGTACTATTTAGTTATTTGTTCACAGAGAGAAATATGGATTGATGAAAATACCCTCGTGAGTTATGCACATGGGCTGAGTTAACCCATAAACACTTTCAATTGGACGACCATTTGGTCAAGAAACCAAATCCGTAAAAATCTATATATCACTCGTTGTTATATGCAATCAATGAAGTCTATGTATCAATTTCATAAAAACTCGCATATTACTGGACCAAATCCATAATTTACTCTCTTTTTTCTTACCTTTTTTATTTGGAGGGAAAATTAATAAATAAATAAAAGCATGTTTTTTAGGACACAGTGCAAGTTGATATGACCTTTTTGACCATCACTTACCCCCAAATTGTGGCCCTCTTCACGGGAGACCTTATTTTTGACTTTTTTTTAAAGAAATAATGAGAATTTTATGTTCACTTTTTTACTCTATAAACGTGAATATGTTATTCATGGTTTATTATATAATATTTTAATTACAGTTATTTAAAATTTACCTCTAAACCAGTTATATTTTTAGGTAAAAAAATGTCATCGACAACTCCAATCAGTCGCACATAGAACCCAATTTTTGACTCATTAAAATGGTTGAGACTAATTGGTGACTGACGTCATACCAGTACATGTTTTGTATTTAGAGAAAATCAACTCATATTTTTATCAATTGAACTTTATGTCATATGCTCTAAAACAAATGTGATTACTAAATTTAAAACATGTGTATTGAACGTTTATTGTTTAAAACGAATATTATTACATAAGAATAAGTAATCATTATTTGACACGTAAATTTTAGGTTGAATCGAAAAGATATTTATGAACTTCAATTATGCAAATAGATTTATGAACCAGATGCGATAAATTGCATTTAAGCAAATTTCAGTTTTGCCCAAATTCAAAAAATAAATAATAAGATAATCCCACCATAGCCGACACTAAAAGTCCAGATTTTTTTCAAATGTTGGTTTAGATCTTTCAAACTTGTTATCAATGAAAAAACATACGGATTTTTTTACACTCATGTTGACCTGGACTAGGCTTTGAGGTTAAAAAAGGAACCAATTGTGTTTTTTCAGACTTAATCATACTTTTTTCTAACTCTGGTTTTTTTTAGACCGGATCATGAATTTATGGACATAATTATTTTAAAATACAAAACATACAATAATTTTAATTTTTAATCTTCTAAATTTATTTTCCAGAAACGAGTGAGGGGCTGTTTACCAATTTTTTTATTAAGTCCTGTATGGATAAATTTGACTGTCCGGATAAATTTGTCTGTCTGGATAAATGAGTGTTGTTGTTTACTTTTTTTATCTGAATCAACAGTCTGAATAACATAAATGACCGATTTACCCTCCAATATTAATTATTTGAACATCAAAACAAAAAATCATAAAGAGACAAAAGATGGGGTGTCTCATATAGGAAGAAGGCGGTGCTTTAAATAAGGGGTGAGAGTGTCATTTTTGTGGCTGAATGGCGACAACACATCATTTCTATCTATGCGATTAAGCCATGTTCTATGCGAATAAGCCGTAAGTAAACAACCCAAATGAGCTGTGTAAATAAGCCAGATAGACCAATAAGCTTAATTAAGCCACAAGTAAACAGCCTCTGAGTCATTTTAATGAAAGTGTATCAAATCACATAAATGTACTTCGAATTTGTGAGCCCTCTTAATGAGAAATAGTAAGGGATTGTTTACCAAACACTTATCCGGGTAAGCGATTACCAAATAACATTACCTCACCGCATTAATATGGTAAAGACAAAAAATCTTACCCGATAAAAGCGACACAAGGACCAAGTCTTACCCGGTCAGTGAAGGCAGGGCCGTCCCTGGGGAGGACGGGCCGGGCGTACGCCCAGGGCCCATAAAAATTTGGGGCCCAATTTTTTTTAATATATATAATGATAGTTCAAAAAATTTAGTAAATAGAAGAGATAAAAAAATTAGTATATAATATGACAATGAAAGATTTTGGTACTACATTAACTATTAAAGATCCAAACATGTATAAATTAAACATATTGAAGAAAAAAAATACATAAAGAGGTTAATCTGTCGTTCATTRTATAATATTATTTAATATTTTTCTAAGTTTTTTTTATCTAAAACTGACGTCTAAAACTACTTGTTTCGAAAACTTTGATATATTTTTCATAATTTATCTCTCTTCGACTCTTTTGATTGTTCCATCATCGCGTGAATTCTATTTTTTATATTAGAATATGTTAGATTTTCTTGTTATTAGCTAACATAACCCTTATTTTTTGATAAAATTATCAACCATATGAAACGGTACAACTTATATTTATATTTAGAATAATAAAACTATAATATTTTTTTCATAGTTGTTCTTTATTTTCTAATATTGAGTATATAAATCTTTTGTACTCTTCTATCTCTAAAAGAATAAGACAATCTCAAACTATCACCAACATGAGTTTTTTAATTTATATAATCGATGATTCCAGAAAAATTTGTTTTAACTCTAACCCTATGTTTTTTAGTCTTCTTTTACGTAGAAAATAGAGGAAAGTAATGGATGAAGAAAAATATTATGTTCTCAAGATTTTTTTTAGGGAAAGGAAAAGAAAAGGAAAGGAAAAAAAAATTATATCAAATTTTATTATTTATTTCATTATTTTCCTTCCTCTATCTTCTCTATTATAAACACAAATAAAAAAAACTTTTTTTTCGTCCTTTCTTTTATTTTTCTTTTCCTTTCTTATTTTTTTCTTTCATTCCCAAATCCGAAAACATAATATAAAAGTTTAAAATGATGTTAATCTTTCGAAATTCGAAAACTTAATATAAAAGTTTAAAATGGTGTTAATCTTCCCAAATTCGAAAAAACATAATATAAAAGTTTAAAATNTAATATAAAAGTTTAAAATGGTGTTAATCTTCCCAAATTCGAAAAAACATAATATAAAAGTTTAAAATAATGTTAATCTTCCCAGATACGAAAACATAATATAAAAGTTAAAAATGGTGTTAATCTTCCCAAATTCGAAAACATAATATAAAAGTTTAAAATGATGTTAAAAAACATTAACATGACATGACATGGAAAACCAACCTATTTACATTTATTTACATATATAGTGCCACTCGGAAATCAGAAAAATCAACTTTCTGACCCCAAATGATGTCATTCTATGTACCAAAAGTGTATCATATGATGTTTTTGATGATGGAACAAATTATCGATGCTACATAAAAATGTTCTAGTAGATAATATTAATTTAGAAATGAGTATTGATTGATTTTGTGTCCAAAAATACTCGAAAAAATGGTATTATATGACTTCAATGTTATTTCTGATGATAAAAACAATATAATGAAAAAATATCATACTTATCGAGGGCCCCTTTCTCACATCTCGCCCAGGGCCTAAAAAATATCAGGAACGTGCTTGAGTGAAGGCGACGACTCTTACCATGGTAAGCGCTTACCGGGTAAATTGTTGCATACGATGTCATTTTGGTGGATTAAAATCTTACTCGGTAAGTAAATAATAATGTTAAGTTTTACCGGTAAGCACTTACCTAGTAAGTGTTTGGTAAACGACCCCTAAGTTATGTTTTTAGTCCCTGTGGTTTATTACAAATCATAGATTTAGTCCTTGTGATATTGAAATTATGATTTATTTTCTATGGTTTGTAATTTATTTATATTTTACTTTCTAAACTAAACACTACTTTTAAGTATGAGGGAATAAAATAGAAATAAATTGTAAAACACATGAACAAAAAAAAAAGCAATAAAGTTTTGATCATAAGGAAAAAAAACAAAAATAAATTATAAATATGAAAATCGTAATTTTAAAACCACAAACAAACCACATAGACTCACGGAAAGTGTAAACTAATAATGGCATTTGTTAAATTGAAATACCATTAATAGCATATTTTCGTTTAAATGAATGTTAATTATATAATTTAGATGTAAATTTCATAACAGTGATAAATAAAATGAAATTTTATATCTATAAATTCAACATTATAGTTTTATAATAGGTAAAATAGATTAAACAAAATTTATACATTTATCAGTTTACAAAAACGAACAGTCTTATCAATTCAGATTTCGGACTTCAGCATCACCTCTTATCAATCAGCAATGAAATAAGATTTCAGAATTCTGCAACTATTAAACGCAATCTTAGTTTAATCTAGTCAAATTTGGAGAAACTCTTTTACTTATTTTTAAACTTGAAACCACACTATTTTTATATACTATAAGGGTATTCGCGCAATTCAGCGAGATACATCTCGATTTTAATGTTCTATTTTATTCTCTGTATTTGTCGATGTTATAATACGATTTTATGTGTTTTTAAGAAAGCAATAATGATTTTATTTTTGAATAAAATATAACTTGAAGATATCATAAAAATTTGAAAAAAAAAATATATCAATGTTAATATCAAATCAACTATTTAAAAGTTTTCATTTTTTATGTAATTTTTTTAGTTTATTTTTTTATTATAATTTAATTTAAGTTTAATAATAAAATAATTTATTTTTGGTTTAATAATGTAACATTTTATAAAGATAACAATTAAGTATTTTGTTAAAACTCAATAATTATCCTAATTATATTTTAGATTTTTTATATTTAAAATGAGATGTTTATCATGAATTTGATTATGTTTATCTCCACTTAGTTATACGAATTCAGATATGAAGCTTTAATAAGTTGTAATATTGAGTTTTAAGTAACATGCATTAATAAACAATACTTTATACATAAAAAGTGGTTTTTAAAAGTTTTTGTCAAATACTTGATATTTTACAAAATTAAAATAATCTGGGCCGAACCGATTCAATCCGTTCAAATCATTTACGTATTCGCCTATTCGGCGTTGGGCCTTATTACTTTTTCATATTTTAATTTCTCTCCAGTTCGGATTCTTATAAAATATTTGGGCCTCTATTTAAAGCCCATCAGGCCCGCTGTTTAAAACTTGCTGCACTTTCCCTCCTACATTCTGCACTCTAATTCGGGAAGGAGAGTGTCTGTGAGAGAATGGGAGAGATTCAGAGCTTGATTGGTGAAGATTAGGGTTTATCTGGGTGTTGAAGATCATGGAAGATTTATCTGTCTACGATTCAAAGACCAGTGTTATCGTTGGAGGTACAGGTTAGCTCATTTGCTCTAATTCTCTCCATTTTTCAACCGATCATTTATATTAATTTTCACATATAAAGAAAAAAGGTGATACGAACTTTCGAGACTTTGATTTTTGAAGAATTAGGATTTCAGAGATTTTGCGATATGGAGAGATTGAAGGACTAATAGCTGATTCTATAGTACTAATTACGGATTTATTTTCTGAATCTATGCATTCTTCAATTTAGAATTAGAAGATTACATGTATTGGATTTGGATCATTAGTATTTCTCGTGATCTTCATATTGCATATCGATTCATAATGTAAGCAATGGTTGTTGTACCGGTTACAATTGGTTTGATAATGGAAGCTTGAATTTGAGTCTCTGTCTATGCATCTGTAATTTTGTTTAAGGTTTTATTTAGGTCTATTGTAATTGCCTGTGCTCTTTTGAATGTGATTCGGGGATAGATAAGCCCAAGATTGAAAAAAAGACAAAAATTAATTGGTTTGATGTTGAGGGCTAAAAAATTTACGTTGAATCTTAGCTAGATGATGTAGAGCTTTAGGCCTTATTCTCGGGTTATTGACATTTATAACCAATGTCAGTACTTGGATTTTTCATTGCAAACTAACCGTATCGTCGGCAAAGAAACATTATAGTTTGCAACGTTGAGCAACTTGGTCAATATTTGAAATTTATGTTCAACAAACCCATTGTAACTTGCAAAATTGGGTTTATAAAACGTTAAAAATGTCGAAGTATACTAGTGGATTGCTTTGTAGGATTTAAGTTTATAGGATCAAACTATAAGACGTCTGATCTAGAAGTGTTGGAATACGTTTATATGATGTTTTTGGTGTTTTGACAAGTTTTTATAACATTTTAAAAATAAAATGTAGTATTAACTATTTTATAGGACACTATTTGAAAAATGTCTTATAAACACGTATGCCTAGATGTTCTTTAGAACACTTGTCAAAAGTGTTCTATTCTTAGAACACTTTTCAATAGTGTTACATAAAATAGTTGTTATAGTACTTTTTTTTTTAAAAATGATCTAAATTAATTTTTTTTTTATAAACCTTAAGTTCTATAAGAAAGTCTATTAGGACTATTGTACAAATTTATTGTAGTATTAAGTGTTAACTTTGAGTCCCAAACTAAAGGAAATGCTAAAGGCGGCTATTCTGAAATTTTACTTTAACTGTTATAGTTTCTCAGGCTTACTATTCTTATGTGCTAATTACAAAATTTCTACTGAAATAGATAAGCCTAAAATAGAGGAAAAGGCAAAGCTTAATATGAGAAGTTCAGGAAGGAGAACACTTGCTGACATTAGCAATATTCCACAGCGATTTAGTGCTTCTAATCAAGATAACAAGCCACAACCAAGTTCGGATGCTATAAGAGAGTATATCAAGCAGCTCCAAAAGGTGCATATCTGTTTAACCAAGATCATAAAGCTACATACTTTCATCTTTTTATTAATGTATATGATCAACCAGTGAATGAGGTTCCTCTTTCATGTGATCCAGGAAAACGCAGCACTTATGAAGCTCTTAATAGACAAAAAGTATCCAATAATTATCTATTTTCCACTTTTTTGCTGATGTAGGAAGTCCCAAACCCTTTCTTATGCTTTATTTTCTTAATATTGTTGCAGTAGAAGCATCGAACTTGGTGGAGCCGAGGTACAGAAACTGAGAGTTATCTTGCAGAAGGTGCAGCAGCAGAATTTGTTACTTGCTCAATCAAACAGCCAGATGCTAGTGGTCCGTTAATTTGTTGATTTATTTTTTATTTTTTCTTGTGACATGCATATTAAAGAAATCTGATATATTGCTCCATGTTGTAGGAACTAAATTCAGTCAAGGAGAGGGTAAGTAATCAAGAAACTGATAGGTAATCTCTTCTTATATTCGACTTCTATCCATGGCCATACTCATGCCCTTCTCTTTTGTTGTTTGGTTTAGCAAAAAGCTCTGAAACATGAACTTGGATGCAAAGATGGCTTGATTATTGCAAAAAAGTTGGAGCCGGAGGTCAGTTAGTTGCTATCTTCATCTCTTACCATACATACATTCTACATCGTGCATTGCCCTTTTTACGCGCAGTTGTCTGAGTGTCCATTATCTTCAGGGAAATCCCAAAGCTAGAATCTTTCAAGCAAATGATAGCCAGGTAAGTGCATGAACTTCGGTAATATTTTGTGTACTTTTTGTTCAAAATTTGTCTCTCGTTGCATCAAGATTGAGTGAACTTCATGTCTTCACTTGTAGAATGATAAGGTAACTGAACTAGAGGAGACAGAAGCGTGTACAGTAGCGGAAAGCAATGATCACAAACGTTATAATACCAGCAGAATGCAGAAATCCAAAAGTCAGTGCTATTCATATGTTCTACTTTCATTTTATTATACATGAAAACAGTCTTCTACACCCCTTAGGGTAGAGGAAAGATTTCATACATCCTACCATTTCCGGACCCTACTTTCGAGAAGGATATTGTAACGTCCCATAACCAAAGCAGCAGGCTGACCAATAACTTTTAATTCAACCTTAAAAGAAGTTAAAAACAATGGTGGAAGTTATTGGTGGCCCACAACTTTGAGCTTGCAAAGAGCTTAAAAATCTACCTTTGTATCCATATCGGCGGAGTTTTACAGATATATTGGGTACGGTTGATTTGGTTTTGTTCGGTGCAACTTTAATTTTGAAAAATGTGGTGTTTCTTCATTTCTTGATTTTAGGTTTAGTCTCATCTGATAAAAAGGTTCAGGATAATGAAGTCGGTAAAGCCAGAAGGTTTGTGCATACTCACCCTTCTTTAGAGTTACTAATTTACTTTCTTTGTAAAAAAACCCCATTATATATTTCCTTACAGGATCCAAACTAGAAGGCAATCTTCAAGGCTTAAGCATGATGAACCAAAATCTACCAAAAGCTCCTTCGAAATAGAAAATGTTGATGATCTTCCACCGTGTTCATTACTTGATGATGATAAAAGTTGTAACCCAGTGCCCTTGTCATCTAACAAAGAAGGCAAATCTCTGGAAGACTACAAGCCTCAAGAACAAAGGAAAACATCTCTTTCGAGGCCTTTACGTGAAGCAGCCAAGAAAGTTCAGTCTTACAAAGAAATCAATGTCAATGTGAAGATGCGAAGAAACGAGTGAGTATTTCTTTTTCTTCCTAATATGTTGCTACATGAGAATTCTATTATATGGGCATGCATATACACCATTTGTTTGACCTGCAACAGTTTGGCATCGGTGGTGGTGGGAAGATGGGTTGCTTAATTTTGGCATCTTTATGATGATAAGTTGATAACTAGGTAAAGAGAGGTATTGAGGATACTATAGCTAGATCTTTGTTAGACTATAAATGGTGTATTAGATCACATAAGTAGCAAATTGAGCTGCCCATTTGCATATATTATCACTTACACTCTGATCAACACAATCTCTTTCTTATGAGGATATTGATATCCGAAACCTCTTTATCCACCATGCTCTGGATCGTACTCCACGGTCATCATGGGTAGGTAAATTGCTACAAGTGAGCAGTAAAAGAGTGGTGGTTGTTGGGTTTGATCCTAGGAAGGCAACACGTGCCTTATGGGTCGATAGGTAAACTGGTTATAGTGTTGTGATGGACGTGATGGTGGTGTATATTGAACAAAAGGTTAGATGGCCAATTTGAGTGTCGTTCGAGGATTAAATGGTATATTAATATTAATGTCAATGTCAATATCAATATCGTTTGAAAATCTTGATGTGAGAATTCAAATAAATCAAAATCGCATTGTAAATCATAGTATAAGTAATTGTATTCTTTTTTAAAATCAACCCACCACCATCAACCTTCTACTTCTTTGATTGAGTTGTCAAGTGATTTCGATGCTTCAACCTCGTCACTATAATCACTTTAATTTTATCAAGCTCTTCTGTTCTTTTTGGACTGGAATTTGATGTTGTTTGTTGTTTTGATTTATTTTAAGAATTTGATAAGTATTTTCTTATTTATGCATCTTCATTACCGGTAATGTGGATTTGTTAATTATCGTTTAGTTCATTGAGAGATAAAATGGTTACTTCGATCATTTAAATAATCAATTCAGAAAAGAAAAAAAAAAAGACAACACAAGTTCATCCGAACATACAAATTTATCCATACATAATTTGATAGAAACGTCACCAATTACGTGATGATACTATTTGATCATTACTGGTTTTAACACGTTAAAGACCAGCCATAATGCTCATGATTTAATATGAAATAATTTATGTTATTGTCATAAATAGATAAACAAAAATCTGTTTTAGACCAATAAATATGAAATAAATTAACAGTAAGCAGTTTTTGTATATTTTCTAATAACGATTGTTATAGTTATCAAAACGCGAAGTTTTAAAATGTAGTATTTCTTTTTGAAGTATATATATATATATATATATATGACAAATAAAACAAATAAACTTACACATCCTTTTCACCTTTAGTGAGGTTTGAACTCTTGACATTTTAGGAGGTCAATGACTCACATACCGCTAGTATTTATTGCAAATATATAATGCTTGCAACCAAAAGTTTGAGCCACGGTAGGTCTCTTTACAAAGTGTTTTTATGGCAACTTGTATCGAGATGATTTTTTTTTTTGAAGTTGCTTAGTCTTTCGAGATTTACATGCTTACAAAATTTGGCAATTTTTCTAGCAAGGATCAAGGAGTTGTCATGTTTTTTGAAAGTATGACTCGTATATATGTGCATCTTTACATGCATGTATATATATACACACATGATCAGGTATATATGGTTAAATTTATAAAACGAATTATTTAATACCTAATCTATTACTACTACGTATATAGAAACAGACAATTAGATGATAATTCGTTATATAAGATGATGACGTTTTTAGTCATTTATCCTTTAATATACCTTTATAATTCACTCAGATAATATACAATCATGAAATCTGAACTGCAAAGTGGCAAACCTTTGTGTGTGATACATGTCCATCAATAAATTTCATTTGTCTTAATAACGTTTAACTGTACAACAAACTGGCAATCTATTTTGATGTTTTCATATGAACAAGTATACAATTTTGATTATTTTCTGTTTATTATTATAAGAGCATCTTCATCAGTCTCTCCAAAACGGATAATGAAATTTCAAAATTTCTAAAACACAAATATATTCAACTACAACAGATTCTCCATTTTAGAGATTAGTAAATTACAACATTGATTATATGATTAACATATTTCATTCGTCTAATAAAATATTAATTCTCTCTCTAAATATTTATTTTCAAAGTTTATTATTGGTGAAAGTATAATAAAAAAATCTAACTTTCTCCATTTTAGAGAATCTGCTAGAGATGCTCCAACAAAAGTGGTTGTTAGAATACCAAGAAACGTATGTGTTTTATCTAAGAGAAAGGTTTAGAAAAATCTAAAAAAAATTTCTATTTTGAATGATTAAGTCCTTTATTATTTTTTAATAAATAAACTATTGAATTTTCCATCTTGAATGATTAAATTCTTGAACTCTTTTAAAAAAACAAACCATTAAACTTTCTCATCTTAAATGATTAAGTTCATGAATATTTTTTTTATTAAATAAACAATCAAGCTTTTAAAAATTGGTTACCTATATCGTTTTAACCTTAAAAACTAACCACCTAAGAGGATTTTAAAGTAAAAAAACCTAATTAGTTTTACCATTCCGAAACCTTACGATTTACATCATCCAAAGTTCTTGCATCCAACAACATTGCTTGACCACCCCATGGCCCCCATCATCGTCCACTTTTATCACTGTCCATCACCGTCGTTGGCCCATGTCATCAATCTTCCTCTTTTTTATCTATTTTTTTTTTCTTTTTGACTCTCCCTCTTTTTTAATATGTCTACACGTACTCTATTAAATTGTTGGAAAAAAAAAGATCAAAAAAGAGGGAAATCGTTGGCAGAAGACAACATGATGGAGAGCGGTATGAAGATGAGTTGACAAGGGGGGGCACCGAAGTTGGATGCGATGGGTTTGACTGACGTTAAGTTTGGAAATCTTAAGACTTGCTTTTGTTTCTAAAACCTTCGTAACCGTGATGTAGTTAACTAATAGGTTTTCTAAAAACATTCTCTTTCTTTAAAAACGTTACCATAAGTTTAAACTTTCTCTTATTGTAATAGTATCAAAATCTTCGGTTATTTCTAATTATTGAATACTTTTTTATATCACATAATTTGATATTTTTTCAAATAAAATTCTCCTTTCACGAAAACAATCTTTATACCTCTTAATAACGGTAACGTCTATGTAAATTCTAACTCCATATCTTCATGGACGCATGTATGTCTGTGTGGACTTTTATGTATCTGCTTAAGTTATTTTCACAAGTAGGATTTCTTTTTTTTCATAAATAGGATTGTTTTTATGTATGAAAGGTGCACCCGCTAAACTTTGAGGAGTGCTTTGAGATATTATAATATATAAAGAACATCAACCAAAAAATCAAAAAAAGTACCTTGAAGTAAAGCAAAAAAACCAAAAAAGTCCCTCAAAATCAACCAAATAACTTAAAAAATCCTCCAAATCAATAAAAAAAACTTTAAAAAACTCCTGGAAGGTGAAATTCAGCAAAAAACACATTTGACGACTTTACGGACCTTTGACCTACCTTAAAGTTGCATTCAGCAAAAGTTTTGGGTCCGCCATTGCACATCTTATGTTTGAGTGAGATATACTGTGTGCATTTCATTCCAACTCAAATGGAAAGGAAAAAAAAAAGATCACTTGTGTTTTCCACATGATAACCTACCAATAGGACCAGTTGAAATAAAAAAAGCTAAATATCGTAAAAATATAAGAAATAAATGTTAAAGGCATGTTTCATATACGAATCATAGGAAAAAAACCCATTTAAAAATACATACGTGAATCCATATTAATAATCTATAATATTCAGGGACAGACCAATAATATGCACAATTTGACTATAAGAAAAAACTATAGAGAAAATTTTCAAACAGTGGCACCGGTTGACTATAAGAAACAAACATACGGAATTTTTTTTCAATCGATAGCACTATTTGACTAAGAAAATGACACTAACACGATTTGAATTTGGGTCTGGAGTGGAATAAAAGCCTTGCAAACCAACTCTACCAAATAAATTTTGTTCTCATTGTAGTTTCAAAATACATACGATGACACACAATAGATTAATACGGTTGCATTTTTCACGAACCTAAATTTTTTTTACCCTTTGACGGAAAAATAATACAGTGGCACGTGCCACCGTAACCACCATGGTAGGTCTGCCCATGATAATATTGGTTCACGTATATACATATTCACAAAAAAAATTCTCATTTTTTATCAACTTTCTTCTTATTTTCTCAATATTTAGCTTTCTTATTTGAACATTCAGGTAAATATAAATAATATTAAATTATAAGATGTAAATCCGTACTAAAAGTCAATATATATGCGTGCATAATCGACCACTTTTTCACGATAAAGCATGGCCTTGTGTTTGACGTTTTGATGCATTCTTGGATTTATTTTCGGTCCATGTTTACCAAAAGCAACCATATCTATCAATCCTTAAACAAACGTGGATATGAAAAAGGGAATCACTATTTTACTACATGCCAATTGCCAATTGCCAAAATAAACCCAAACTTTTAACCAAATAATTTTCAAAGGTTTTATCATTATTATTCGAGTAAAAAGTCAATTATTAGCAACCCCAACCAGTTTTATACGGAATCTACCTCCAAGAACATCAATATAAGACGTCATTTTGTGGCTCACCCAACAACTGAGGCTAGCGTCAGAGAGGAGGGAATCGAACCCGAAATTCATCTTGTATCCGGACAAAATCACCACTCCCGTTTACCAACTGATGGTCTAACCGATGAAGTAGGGTTTACCTATCAAAGTTTTGTAATTTTGATCTTATACAATAATATTCTACCCCTCTAAACCATCATATCTTGAGCTTTCTATTCTACTTGTTTTTTTAATTAACCTGGATATCCAACTCGCTATGCGAATCGACTAATCTCAGGACGACCACTTGTTTTGCAGATAACCCGAAGTCACCGCATTTGAACCTTCGTGACCACAAGGAGATTTTTATTCCTCCTTAAATTTGAACCTGTGACCTCCTGGTATTTTTGACCTTTGGAGCTAAGCTCAAACCAACGATTTATTCTAGTTGCTTTTTTGCTTTCACTTTGGGATATTCCAACATTAAAAGAAACCAATTGCTTTGTAATGAAAACCCTCACCAAAATCTCAAACTGCACACATACACACACACATACACATACCTCAATCTCTCTTGGTGTGACAGTGACACCATGGAGGAATCATCAACTCTTTGGAACTGGAACTGGGATCACCAACAACAAGTATTACCATTTTCTTGAATTCCCAACCAAAAACTCGACATTTTGATCGGTTCTTGACGTATAAATTCTTCGATTTAAAGGGCTTAACCTGTAATGTTTGTCTGTTGTGCTTGTTATCAGGTTCCTGTCACTGAGGAACAGAAGCATGCTCCATTGTACTCACCATTAGGGTTGGAAACAAGAGCTGCATATGCTCGTGAAGAAATTGCCAGAAGAAGAGACGAAGTGTTGCATTTGAATGGTTTATTAGCAAAAGCCATGAAAGAAAGAGATGGGTTCCAGTTCATGTGTCAAAGACTACATCTGGAAAACCTCATTCTCCAACAACAAGTTCAAAAGCTTGAAGCCAATGCTTCTTCTGCAAGAGCTGCTGCTGCTGCTGCTCCTGTTAGTTACGTAGAAGATAACCCTATTGCTCGGGTCGCTTCGTCATCGGAGTCTACTGAAACGTCGTTACCATTGTTGCTGCAACCGTCATCGTTAACATCATGTGCCATTGATAACATGGTATTGACAAAAGGGTTGCCCAAGAAAGGGAAGTTCTTGCAGGCCATGATGGAAGCAGGTCCTCTACTCCAAACCATTCTTCTTACAGGTCCAGTTCCTCAATGGCAAAACCCACCACCACAACTCAATTCAATTCACATTTCATTGGCAAGCACCCCTTCAGCATTTATGATCAGTAAGTGTAATCATAGTGATGGTAGACAGTTGATTAGTAAGAGATGATGTTTGGAAGATAGTTATCAAGTATATGACTACAATTTTCTCTCCTACCACCAACACCAAGAATCGAAAAATTGTTAACCACAAGGGTGGTGCCTGATTGGTTTGAGCTTGAGTCCTTAGTCAAAAGTACGAGGAGGTCACAGGTTCAAAATCCAATGAGAAATAAAAATCCCCTTTGTGGCCATGGAGGTTCATATGCGGTGACTTCGGGCTATCTGCAAAACAAGTGGTCGTCCTGGGATTTGTCAACTCGCATAGCGGGTTGGATATCCAGGTTAATAAAAAAAAAATGTTCATCACAACGAGCCAACGTCTCGTGACTGGTGTTTTGATTACCTCCTAAACATTTTTCAAGCTACTACATTTGTTGATTCCATCATTTTCTTACCTTTGGGATGTACCAGTCTCTCTCCCCCGACTATACTTCCGAATGGGATGTACCGTCTTCAGTCTTCCCTTGGTTTAGCGTAGTTTAGTTTGCAGTCTAAGGGGCCGTTTACTAAACACTTACTTGGTAAGTGCTTACCGAATAAATTTCCTTATCAGATGAACATGATAAAGACCAATAATCTTACCGGGTAAGAGCGATGAGAAGGATGGAGAGTCTTACCCGGTAAGTGAAGATTACGACTCTTACCCAGGTACACGCTTACCCAGTAAATTGTTGCATTCAATACGTTTTGATGTACTAAAATATTACTCATCAAAATAAATTATAGTGTTGACTTCTATAGATAAGCAATTAGCTTGTAATATTTAAAAGCATGTTGGTGGTGTCATTTTGAGGACCCCTTTTCTTGCCACAAGCTAAATTTTGCATTAATTTCTATAATTCATTTTTTTTAATTAATTTGGATATTTAATCCGCTGTGCGAGTCGGTTAATTCCAGGAAGACCACCTGTTTTGCAAAATTTGAACCTCCATGGCCATAAAGGAATTTTTATTCCTCCTTGGATTTGAACCTGAAACCTCCTGCTACTTTTAACCTTTGAAGTCAAGCTCAAACTAATCAAACACCACCCTTGTGGTTTATATAATTCATCTTTTTTACCTAGAAAAGATATTACATGCAATTATTGGCCTTGGTTAATATGAATGCATTTGAAAATTGGGTGCATAATAAATAAACATAATGTAAGAAAATTATAAGGCATATAATTTGAAAAAATGGGATCAAAACAACATTTTGTCAACATTAATCCATTATTGGGTCACCATTTTGTTCATCAACTGGTTTGTAAGCGATTGTTTTACTTGTTGCAATTTTTTCTAGTAAACAAAAACGTTTACAAATTACTTGATTTCACTCGAAAACATCATATTACAAACTTATGTACATATATATTTACTTAGGGGCCGTTTACCAAACGCTTATCCAGGTAAACACTTATCAAGTCACGTTACCTCACCGGATGAATATGGTAAGGACCAAAAATCTTACCCGGTAAGAGCGAGACAAGGACCAAAAGTCTTATCTGGTGAGTGAGGATGACGACTCTTACCATGGTAAGCGCTTACCGGGTAAATTGTTGCATACGATGTTGTTTTGGTGGATTAAGATATTACCTAGTAAGTAAATAATAATGTTCGATTTTATTGGTAAGCACTTACCGGGTAAGTGTTTGGTAAACAGCCCATTAGTTTTCCTTTCCTACCTATGTGGAACAACTCTCAATGCAATAACATTGTTAATTAGACTTCACTTTATCGCATAACAACAACAACTTAACAACATAATTAGAACTAACGGATCTGTTTGGTTTGCAAGATTTTGTGGGATTTGGAATTTTGATTTCGTTCTAATCTTGCATTTGGTTTAAAGTAGAGTTCATAATTGAAATCCCACAACACGGGAATCAGAAATCCCGTGGGGTAATTGGTACTATTTCGTGAGATTTCATATGATTTGTTTGTTATAATGTTTTAAAGATGTGTTCGAGACACTTATTTTGTAATAATCAATTAATAAAAATGTAATTTTAATTATTTTGATAACGTGTTCTGATAAATGATTCATAAAGAATGTAATTCAATTCAATTCCAAATCCTACGAACCAAAGACACCAAATATTTAATATTCTTCCAATTCCAAATTTTTCCACGAAATTCAAATCCCTTGAAAACGTTCAATTAAATCAAACGGACCCTAAGATTACACATGCACTGTTAAAAATCTCTAAGGGTTCGTTTGGATTGCATGATTGTTTTTAAGGGATTTGGATTAGAATGGATTTGAAATAATTGGTGTGTGATTTCAATATTTATAAAAAATAATTAGATTACATTTTTATTAATCGATTATTACAAAACAAATGTTTTTAACATTTTTTAAAACCTTATTCCATACAATCTTACGAAACCCCGAGAAATCCGAGCACCCTCTAAAGATTTCAAAATCCTATGTATAATTTCAATTAAATCGTAGGATTTCAAATCTGGACAATCCAACAAACCAAACATGAGATTGAAATGGATTTGAAATCCAAATCCCCCAAATCCATTTCATTTCTGCAAACCAAATGGGACATAAATGTTTCAAATTGCCGAATATTTTAGCTTATTATTTTATTTCATCTTTTAATCTGTCTTAAAAAAAACAATTGTGTTTTGTATATGATTATTATCAATTAAAAATATTATAGAATTAAGAAATGTAGCATCAAAATTATTATAAATCAATTGTACATGAAAAGCATTTGACATCTTGATGCTTTCTCTATATTTTACCCAAATGCCCATAAGATGCACTACAAAAAGTGACTACTATTTAACTACATGCCAAACCAAAAAGGTGATGTCAATCATGACATAATTTTAACTCTATAATTTCTTTTTAATATGCTTAAATTTAAATTCTAATTATATTAATGGTGTTTTAATATATTTCTTTTTAATATGGTTAAATATGTTTTTTCAATGCTTATCCGCAAAATTTATCACTCTCACCTACTTTATAGGGTAACACTCTCAACCATTAGAACGAAGTGTTGGTAAAAGTCTTTTACCCAGTAGATGAACATTGTGTAAAAGTTTTCTCCTCCACTTCCCAGATAAGTAGATAAGATTCTCGGTACTTATCCTGTACTTGTTTGGTAAACAATACTTTTTGGACTTTTTTTTCTTGAGCAACTATGCTAAAATGTATGCTAATATATAGAAAAAAAGTGAGAGAAAATTGAAATCTGCAAACTTGAAGAAATCTCTAACGTTGTGTTCTGGAGTTTTTTTTATTAACATGGATATCCAACCCGCTATGCGAGCCGACTAATCTCAAGGCGACCACCTGCTTTGCACGTAGCCCATATTCACTTGAACCTCCGTGGCCACAAGGGGATTTATGTTCCTTCTTGGATTTGAACATGAGATCTCCTGACACTTTTGATCTTTGGAGCCAAACTCAAACCAATCAGGCACCACCCTTGTGGCTATGTTCTCGAGTTTTTTACGAAGGAAAGTATGGGGAAAGAAAAAAATGCCGTGTTCTATTTTAAAGGAAAGAAAAGAAAATAATGTTAATTGTTCTCTCATAACTTTTGGGAGGAAAATAAAGAAAAGGAAAGGAAACAAAATGAAAGAAATAATAATTATTATAAATATTTATAAAATTACATATATATCCATCAACTACAACCCACCGAAAAATAAATAAAGGTATATTTGTAAAAACATCTTTTCTTTTCCTTCATTTAAACGAAATCGGCTGCTAATGCTTGTAGCTTGCTTCTGTCCTCTAGCGTGCACAGTTTGCTTACGCCTTAGTCCTCTAGCGTGCAGAGTTTGCTTACGCCTTAGGGGTAGCCCGCCGCATATGTTGAAAAAGAGGGCCGAGAGGCTTTCCGAGGGGATGTTTTCTATTTACATTCCCGTCATTTCTATCCCATTCTTCTTTTTTTTCCTTCTCAAATTCAAGAACACAACGTAAACCTTAGGTGGCGTTTGTTTTTTAAGATGTGCTGAAGTCTGATTTCACTTCTGATTTTTAAGAGCTGGTGCTGAAGTCTGAAATCTGAATYAGTCAGACTGTTTGTTTTTATAAACTGACAAACGTCTGAAGTCTGAAATCTGAATCAATAGTTTGCTTTTGTAACCAACAAAACATATGAATATGTATAAATTCTTATTTCACTTCTGTTTATGTTCCCAAGATTCTTTTAATTCTTCCTTCTCCTCCACATCAAGTCTTCCATCCTCAATCTCCACCCTCATCCCACCATCATCAACCACCGTCCACCACCACTCCTTCTCTAAAATCCAACGCCCAAATCCACCTCCAAAATCGAAGCAAATCTCCATCATGATGAAAACTATAGGGACAAAAATACCTTGATTCACGAGGATAAAGGTGCACAACTACTGGTTTGCACATGAACGAAAACACACAGTGTCGAAAACCCACAGAGAAGAAAACCCTCTTGATTTGGATCTGATTTGGGTCGATTTGAAGCCACCAGAGGTGATGGAGGGTGAAGTCGATTGATTGAGACGGTAAGGAGGGTGAAGTCGATCGATTGAGACGGTAAGGAGGGTGAAGTCGATCGATTGAGACGGTGAAGTCGATCGAACGATGAAGTAGAAATCGGTTCTCTGGATAGTTTTTAGGATTAAGAGAAAAATAAGTGGCTAGGTTATCACTTAATTTTTAAGAGGAAAATAAGTGATAAGTGGCTCTGAAAGAAAAAGAAAAACAAACAGTCTGAATTGCCTTATGTCTGACCGAATCAGACATAAGTGGTAAAATAAAAGCTTTTTCAAAAAACAAACACCACCTTAATGTTCATGAGATATATATATATATATATATATATATCATTCTAATTGTTTCCACCAATAAGGTTAAATTTACTATAAGTTTTTATGATGTCTTTATTTTAAAAGTGTATTGAGATAATGAGTTTATAAATATTCTAATACTGTAAACAGTACCGAAATTCCTAAAATAGAGTAGCATTGACTGAGAGTTGAATGTTTGTTTTTAAATTTGATTTCAGATACTCTATTT